TTAACCTCTTCTGGCAGCTTGGCTGTTAAGGTACTTACTTGAATCAGTATATCTATCGAATGATTTTGCTCATTTGGAAAGGCTAAGTTTAGACCCATCTCCAAGAGGAGCAAAACACCATCATCTACAGGTATACTGGATAAACGAATGATATTATGCGAACACACAGACACATACACATAACAGAAACAGACACATTCAAATGCTCTGAGCTTGGCATATGACTGGAACTAACCAAATTACTTTATATCTCATCTAAGAGCTCGGATTTCGAGTATATATAAAGCATTTTAGGGATTAGCTGGTGGGTTTTCTTGACTCGTTAGCTTGAATATGGTTGTAAGGATGATACTATTTGCTCTGAGGATTTCTGTCATACGATATAAGAAAGTTTAGCACACTTTCACCGGAATCAAAAGAAATTACCTCAGGGACAGCGTCAACAAGATTGTCCCAGTAAAGCCAATAGACAGCTGGTCAAGAGGAATCCGCAGTCGTCCTTTGTATGGATCAACCTTCAAGTCTCTTCACCAAATATTTTCACTCGAATTGGAAGTAAACTCAACAATTATGAAATAGCCAACCAATGCATGCGAGGTATCATTAGGATTGCTAAGTTTGGCATAAAAATGAGTGTGATTGCTCGGGGCCACCCTCATTTTCTTGGTTTATTGTGATTGGTGCGTTTTTTCGTAAAGTATGCTTTCTTGCTCTGTCACATGACATACAAAGGCTTAGCACATTTTTATTGGGGTCGCAAGTCTGTAAGCAGAAGACTTCTTCGCAAAATTCAACAATCTTTACTCCACGGAAATCCTCTTTTCCTTTCCGATGAGACAATTTAACGAAGCTCCTACAACCAACTTCTCCTTCAAAATGGAGTAATATCACAATAAGTCCCACTAATAAAAGTGATTCGGGTGTAGCAACCTGTGGTCACGATACACTCGAGCTGGTATCCAATCCTGTAGGGGCTGCTGACGCGGCGATGAGGCGAGATGGAAATCTGTATGAACTTCACTGTCATCACAAGGCCTACTCAACTCATTGTGTGAAAACTCAACTATCCATCCTTAACTCGTCTCAAGAGAACTAGACTGTTATAGTACTCGTTCAAGAATTGGAGGCATTCCCCGGTTCCAATGAGTCTGTGTTCGTTATCTACCAACGGCCTCTCGGATAAGACCCCTCCACACCCAACTGTCCAGGTGTCTTTTTGCTAAAATATATTTCTTCGTCCTCCATACTCTCCTCATTTTTCCCACCGTTTCTCAATGCCTTAACTGAAGCTACATTGGCACTTGATCTCCTTCAAATATCACAAAAGAAGACCTTATGCTTATGGGGCAACTCAAATGAATATAAATTGTTCACTCAACTTAGATTCACTTTCACACGATCCGTGTAATTAAGAGACCAGAAAGACTAACATTAAATATCGAGGAATAATATTTCATTGAATATCAAACATCACTTACTGTGTTTTATCAGTAGAGGTGGTGCATAAAAATACAGTAGACTATTTTATTGCTTCCCTAAATCATCCTCTAAAAGACGCCTAGCAACTATCCATGACCAAATTCAATCTTTTTTGCCGAATGTTTATGTTGTGATAATACTGATGCTTTTCATTAATCCGCAATACCACGTGTGCCTCATTTGGTCCATTGCAATAATTCTAGTAGGTTTCTGTCTCTAAGTCATTTGGTTAGTTACAGTTACACTTTTTTTGTGATTCTCTCTCAAGGCGCTGGCAACCAGAGAGTGAGACCGCATTAAAAGAAATAAACAACAAATATTTACACAAACAATAATAGGTAGTTTGGCAACGAATGACCTGTTGTTGCCTGGAGACAGTTGCATTATCATAAATCGAAGCTCTTTGTGGAACAATTCCCACTCCACTAACCAAAGCTGTGCCCTCTGAGGCAGCCAGGCTCAAGAAGATTGAGGGTTGGGATTAAGTCCACCGCATGCCCCACCTCCTCCTCTTTGCCGCCGAAAGGTCGGACTGGAGGTTTCCCTGTCCCGGGACTACCGAGGTCGCCACTTCCTCCTCCAGTGCCAATACAACCCTCGACTGGACCGGAGGCAGAAGAGTCCGGCCGCAGCATCTGCCCTCCTAAGCCAGAC